ACATAAAAACTATTTGGTGCTCCCTTGCAGCATTGGGAAGAGGTATAAATGTTTTAAATGTGATTTTGAGGGTTCTATTTCAAACGGATCAATCCCTCTTCTCTCTCTCTCTCAATTTTTCTTCTTTTCTTTCTTGCCCGATGGTCCAATTAGTGTTGCTTATACCTAGGTATAAGTGTGCATAGTATGTAGGTATAGGTGTCATCGGGCAAGCTATATGTTGGACGGTTCGGGGTTTAAGGGAGGTGATGACAAAGACATCTGCTAATAAAGTAGAATAATATTGCATCCTACGACATTTAGACCCGACTCAGAGACCTGATGCGAACGTAGGATGACAGTATTACTCACCGACAATAGACTAACGAGGACTCATGTTTTTTTAGGCTGCTGGCGATTCTAGCTTGATAGTGTGATTGACCTGTTGAAAGTATTTTCAAAACATATAAAGATAAAACAAAACAAAAATATATTTTTTATTAAACTAATACTTTGACTGTTAAATGAAATTATACTTTTAAATGCGTGACAAATCATAAACTTTGAGTCATACAATTTAAATTTCCACTTGTCAGTTGACTGTACTGTGTTAAGCATTTTCCTCTTAAGATTGTGTTGTTGGAAATTTTTAGTTGAATGTGGAGCTTTATACACGCTGATGATCGATGGTTGCCTTCGGAGCCCTTCGGGTATAATTAAGTTGAGCCTACCCCAACATGAATGTTTACGCTTCTCTTCGATTTTTCATTTGTTTCTTGCAGTTTTCTTTGAGTTTTCGTGAGTCACTTGTAATTTTCTTCGAGTTTTTGGTGTGTTTCCTACTAGTTTTCTTCTAGTTTTTTGTGAGTCACTTGCGATTTTCTTCGACTTTTCCATGAGATGTTTTACCACTTGTTTTTTTATGCATAAATGTATGTTTGTCTTGCCTGTTAAATTCTCTACTATACTTGTTTGCTCCTATATGCAAGACTAACTTCTGCGGCAGCAGCAGACCCGCCAGGTACGCAGATTCATTTTACTTACTGCATTTTACCGCCTATACTGAACATTTTACTACTTTCCTTTATTGATCTTTACGTTGTTTTCCTTTACTGCACTTCCTTATAGCATATTTTGTTTATGCATGCATTAAATTAATTGCAAGACCTTCAGGGTAGAGAACAATAGTCGGTTTACCTAGGGCGGATTACTATAAAACACTAAACATGAAACTGTTATGACATAGAGCATGAAACAAGTTTTCGTGGGCAACACGACGAAGATGCAACAGATGAAGGTTGACAATCTAAAATAACAAAACAGGTCTACATCAGTTAAACCTTTTTTAGAATTAAATAACATAACTCATTGGACTTTGAAGTAGTCTGCTTAGGACGATGTAAATCCTCATATTGTCTTTTGGGCTTTTGTACAACAATGTGCATCGTAAGTCCTAACTCTTTTAAGATTCTTAGGTTGTTGTTCGGTACAACATAAATCCCCTTTTCTGCCTAGGCTATTCGCACGATTGGGTACCATGCGAGCGTAAGCCCTAAATAATAAAATCGACAAGATTAAATATTAAATAACTTAACCTCTAAGACATAAAACCAAACACTTGGATAGTTGGGAAGTCACCGAGGCTTGCCTTGGATCCGTGACATCCTCTATTTTTTCGCTCCGTTGGACTTCTAAAATAATTGTTTCTATTTCGAGAGTTTTCTTAAGTTATTCTGGTTATTTAAGATGTAATTAACTATGGGGGATTGACTCTATAGAGAACTAAAAACTCAGGTAAAATAAATTTTATCTAATATTTATATTAGGTGGGGGAACTTGTCGGTCATACATAAAAGATTTTGCAAACCAAACGGATGTCATAAATTGTTTAGTTTATATAATTAAGGCCGCTATCAAGTGATATGTTTACCTTTCAAGGTAGTGTATCACTTGTGGTGTTGTGTTCGGTTATTTAAAGTAAATATCTGAGATCTATTTGGTCTCATCTTTTTCAAATCTAAAACACTATTTTTCATAATCAAGATTATATATATATATATATATATATATATATTAAATTAAATTAAATTAAATTTATCTTATTTTCAAAATTAATGACCGACACAGTCCAATAATGAACTGTTGACTTTTAGTCTAATATTAACTTGCTTAGACTATGATTTGGGAGGGAATTTAGAATCACTTTTCATAGCGATCATATCAAATTTACCATGAATGTGCATTGGAAAAGTTTTGTTAACTCAAATCTTTGGAATGTGGGGGATGTGGAGGATCGGAATTGAGAAGTGAGAAAATCCTGTTATGCAATTAAGGCATTAAAAGCGTGTGTATGTGTCATGTTTGAGTTTGAAAGAGACGTTCAACTCTTTTTTAAAAATAAAAATAATCGTAATATTTTATAGTAGTTACATGATTCTTGGAGCAAGGTAAATTTAAGTTTATTTAATTTTTCTATTCTTCACAATATTCTCTGATTCGAGCATTTGAGATGTTTGTATGAGCATTTATGCTGAATTTTTTTTTTCAATGATGTGATGTATTGTGCACGGCTTTTGGAAAAAGTTTTCAAGCTCGCGACGGATGATAGTTGTTCTCTTTGGCTTGATTTAAAAGATTTTCATTCACATGAATGTATGGTTGTTTTAGATGTGTTAAGGCCTTTTATGATAGTCATTCACATGAATTCATCGTCATTAAAATGTACTTTTGGCGTTATGTTGAGAAGAACCCACTACCATCTATTTGGTATTGGTCATCATGGCTTTATTTTGAGGCAAGCAATCGGTGGTTACTAGAACTTTCTTAAGAAACAAGTGGCAAGTGGGTGTTTTAGAAAGCTCTTTTGCAGACTGGTTGTGCAATGTAGTTCGATGGTATGGTCAGTGAAGTTTCTAAGGAAGTAGTTGGTTGAGGTTGTTTGAGATGTGTAATTGGTGACGATCATTGATGAAGGCATTAACTGCTATGCTTTATGTGCATTTGTGGCATGAGGAAAGAAGCTTGTGATATCGCAATTATAGTGCTCGAGTTCTAGCGAGCAGATAAATTTGTTGGCGATGGAGTTGTGCTTGGCAATTGGATTTGAGGTATCACTGACCCCTAATGCCATGAAGAGGGGATCATGCAGTAGAGTGCTATCATTGTGCACAAGTTTTTAAGGAAGTAACGGTCGCAAGTTTCTCAGGATTGCAGCCATTGGTGTGCAGACAAAATTGCAATATATATATATATATATATATAGTTGGGTGGGATT